TCCCAGGTCGCCAGACTCCCAGGTCGCCAGACTCCCAGGTCGCCAGACTCCCAGGCCTGTGCTCTTTACTTTTAGGGAGGGATCTTAAATCTAGGGCCCATGAACCATAGGGCAGTTTTTTCTGGCCCTCCTCACCCTCAGGTTTATTGTTATATAATTCCTCGTACACATGAATGGGCATTCAATTAAGTCTATATGAAGAAAAACAAGGATTTAGATATTGTGTAAAACAAGTGATGTTATAAATTTAAAACAAACATGAAATTTACATCTGAAACCATTACAGAGTTGTTGTTGTTGTTGTTGTTTAGTTGTTTTTTCAATCCTGACAGACTCTGCATGACCTCTTTTGGGATTTTCTTGGCAAAGATACTGGAGTGGTTTGCTATTTCCTTCTCTAGTTCATTTTACAGATAAGGAAACTGAGGCAAACAGGGTTAAGGGACTTGCTCAGGGTCACACAGCTAGTAAGTGTCTGAGGCCAGATTTAAACTCAGGAGGAGGAATCTTCCTGACTCCAGGCCCAACATTCTATCCACTGTACCAAATAGCGGCCCAGTTACCAGGTAGTTGGAGTATTTAACTGCTCATAAAATGATCTGTAGTTCTGATGATAATAACTGACATTTATGTAACATCCCTTTAATAAATTATTTTACTTGAACCTCAGAGCAACTTTGTGAGATAGGTACTACAGGTATTATCTCTGTTTTACAGATGAGGAAACTGAGGTACAGAGATGAAGTGACCTTCCCATGGTCACACAGCTAATTAAATATGAGCAGCAAAAATCTAAATCTAGGTCTTCTTGACCTTCTCTAGATCTTTCCTTACCACTATGCTGCCTCAAGGTGTTACTTGGGGCATCTTTTGATTGTAAAAGAGATTGTTGGCATTCTAGCTCAACCTCCCTTTGAAATTCCCATGGTATTAAATTCTAAAAGATACTGCGTTATTGTGAATATTGTATCAGGTTCTGTTTTAAAAAGTACATTGAGAATATGGAGCTTTGTCAGTGTAGGGATACCAAGGTAGAAAAGGGTATTAAAACCAGCTCTATGAGGAATAAACTAGTATATTAGCTTAGTGTCTCCTCTGTGGAACCTTCCCTAGGTAGGCTACCCCCAATCTGTCTTGATCTCTTCCTCTGATCTTACAGTACCTATTATCTGGATCCTTCATTGGCCCCTTATCACATGCTGCCTTGAATTGTCATTTGCCTTTCATACACCTTGGTCTTGACTCCCAAACTAGACTGTAAACTCCTTGGGAGCATGAACTGTTTTTCTTAGCTAACTTTTTCACCCCCTGGATTTTCCAATAGTGGATAGCACAGTGCTCTGCACAAAGAAGTCACTAAAATGCTACTATTTAAATTATTTTCACTCCAAAGGTAAATGAAGAAGAATGGAAATTATGGATTGTGGTTTTTTCTGTTAAAGTTTATATGTCTTGTGTTTTTTGTCAAGCTGTGATTTCCTAAATCATATTTGCACTGAAGAAAAGAAGGCAAGGAAAAGAACTGAGAAATGGGGGGGGGGGAAGCTTTGTTTTTCCCATCATTCCTTTCAGAACAAGTCAACTGAAATACAGGTATTTATGGTGTACAAATTTTCCATCTCTACCCTCTGAGACATCCCTGTCTCCCCTACTCCATTGTCGTCTATTGTTTCTGGATCCTCAAAACTTTCACTTTCTCCTGATCTTCACTGTCTTTATTCTTCCTTCATATTCTCTTCTTCTACCTTCCCTGGTCCTCTCTCTTCTCCCCAACACATCTTTTGGGAAAGTAAGCTTCTTGTCTGTGTTCTAACTGATTATGCTCAACACTGTTTAAATTGCCACATGCCTTAAAATGAAGAGCTAATGGGGCCATTCTCCTGTGAGCCCCTGGCTTCAGTATCTGCAACAGCATAACCAGGGTGTTCACTCTCTGTACCAAGGGAAAGGAAGAGCCAAAGGGACATTCACTTGGGGGTGAACGGTGGCATGTCCTGCCTACCCTTATATGTTATTTTTAAAAATTTACTTATGTCTTTTACTTTTAAATTACTTTCATTTCTGAATATATCTTCCCTTTGCTCTCAAGTAGAGGGTTACCCTTGTAACCAAAAATAAAAGAATATATTTTTTATTAAAGTCTAAGAATTTTCAACAAAGCATATTTTAGGCCTGTATAGGCTTTTTTGTGACTTTAATTTAAATTTGTCTTTTCTTGCTGTTGTTGTTTTTTAACCTTACAATTGTAGGAATAAAAATGCTCATTACAGGATTATAAGCCCTGAGTTGGTGTACATTTTACGTGTATACAATATATATGTATATACATTCATATGTATGTGCATGCATGTATGTATGTATATATACATATGCATGCACATACATATCTATTTTATATATACTAATATATCTATATATAGTGTATAAACTATATACTAATACTACTCTGTGTTATGCATAATAGATATGACATATATATAAATAGACATGGTATTTATATAAATGTATGTATAGATACATGTTGTAGACATATATATTGGACAGATACTGGAACTG